TCTTGGTCAAGTGAAGTAGCAAAAGCTGTCTAGTATGCTTTGATGAAAAGGAGATCTGTCATGCTGTTACCTATATGAGTATTAGACAGCACCAATACAGAAAGGTAAGGTAGTTAAAGAGTCCATCTCTAATGTCCAGGCTGCTTGGTATGCACTGGACATACCAAGCACTCAGGATTTGAAGGTAGAATACCTGAGTTTGAGTTTCAGTATCTCCTACTCTTGTGGAAGCATATATTATTTGGGCCTGTGGTTTACATCTCTTGATCTCATACAGTGTCATAGACATTGGAGATAGACTTCCAGCATGGGAAGTTAACCTGTCTCAGCCTGTTTCCTTACTCCAGTATTATTGGCAGCTGCCTCACATGGGTTATTACAAGAATCAGTAAATGTTATCCTTTTCCTCTATTTCATAATCTGTATATTTGGGAACAAGAAGACCTAGTTTAAAACTCAGTAAAACACATGTGAGAACTGGAGTATGTTTCCATTATTTTGCTTTATTTGTCTCACAAAATGTAAAATCCCCTCATGGATCTTGTTTGCTAGTAATATCTGTGAACAAGAAATACTCTAAATTTTCTTCCCCTCATTTTCACACACAGCAAGTTGACAGTAATCCCTTAGCGTCATTAGTGATTGGCTAATCCAAAGACTTTGTTTTTAAAAGCAGTATTAAGTAAAGAGGATTTTGGAGGAGGTCCTGTGCTTATATTCCAGCTCTTCCACCTAGCTGGGTGACCATGGGCAAATTATTTGCGCTAAGCCTTCTTTCCTTCTCCTGTGAAACGGGATAATACTTCTGACTTGTCTACTTTGTTGGGAATGAGATAACCTGTCAAGGATTTAATGTGGTAAAACACAGTAATTATTAGCATTCCCTGATATTTATAATAAAGAACAGGAACAAAAATTAATATTTAAAGAATAAAAGAATAAATTGGCCATTAGTTGATTTATATATTTTTAAAATTCCATACATAATGTAAGGGCTGTAACACAGCAACATGTCATTGGAGGCCAGTGGAGTAATAATGTCTCAGTCTCCAAATTGGTTCCTTCACTTAAGGTATCTTGTGAGAGCAAGTATGCTTAAAAAAAGACTCACTACTCTAAAAGTAGTATCCCTTTCTAGAACTACAACACTTTTAGGCTTGCACTCCTTGGTGAGTGAAATATGATGCAGAAGGTCCTGGAGGCTGGAACTTTATACAAGGAGTTTGACACAATAAACTTGTGTCAAATAAAATTACTTATGTAATTTTTGTCACAAAAATGAAGGTATGGAGAAGGTACTAGTATTATACCCATTTTGCAAATGAGGAACTTTGAGTCTGAGAGAGAAAATGACTTGTGCTAAGCTATTAGGAATTCAGACTTAGACATTCTCATTCCAGAATTCTAGTGTTCTGCTACTGCCCTCTGCTAAGCTTGTCTGTTTCCCTTCTTTTAAGTGCTTATCTTTAGAGACTTCTCATTTGACTTGGTCATATAGTTAACTTATAGTTAACTTATAGTTAACATTGGTGCCTCACTGAGTAGTTTGAACTCAGTCTTGTATGGGAATTAATGAACTGTTTTTAGAAAGAGGAGTCTTGTGATTAGATAATGTATTACAACAATAATGACTGGGGGCCTTCCTGGTGGTACAGCTATGTCTCAGAACTATGAAGCTGCCTGGCAGCCATTGCAGCATGAGTTTGAACGCCTACCAAGGAGCTGACCCACGTGGCTGACCCATCCTGTCTCGTTCACTGCAACCCTCAGCAGTGTATTTCAGTCAGTCTGCCTGTTCTGCTCTCCACTTTGTCTTTGTGGAATCCTCTCACCCCTCATACCTCTGGCCTATAGGGTGTACAGGGTGTACACCCAGTTCTTAAGATAAATAAGTTAAAAAAAAATCTTAAAAAAAATCACTGCAGCAGTATGGAAGATATAGTAAGCAGCAATGTAGTAGTTGACTGCAGTCAGACTACTTGGGCCTAGATCCTGTCAGTTTTATCATTTGGGCTGCTTCTTTTCAGAAAATTAATTTCTAATTTGTAAAATGGGTTAATAATCCTATTACAGATTGATGAAGTAGATTCTAAATGCAATGTCAGTTTGTAAGATAAGATTAATTTGGATATGGGATGGGTGTGGCTGGGAGTTGTGAGCTACATTAAGAACTGTTGCAGAAATTGGCTTAGAGCTGATGGGGACATGAATCCCACAGCAATGGGAGAGACCTAGAAATAGATATATAAAACAGTCTTTGAGAGTAGTGGGAACAGGTGGATCTACAGAAAATACACTGCTGAGGAGAGCAGTGCCAGCACGGGAGAGGTCTGCTGGGCCATGTGGGTTGGCTTCCTGTTTGGGGGTAGGGGTCTCAAACTCAGCCTGAGTGGCTGCTGATAGCTTCATAGTGCTGAGACTTAACCCCTTGTGCCACCATGGAGGACTCTGGATGTAAAATTAAATTGAGACATTCAGAAACTTTCCTTCTATTTCCTCCTTTCTATGTTTATTACAGCTGGGTTACCTCTTCTCAGAGTTTGTTGTCTTGAGTGAACTGGATCAGGTACTGAATTGGATTTTTTAGTTCTAATTTCCAACATAATGCCTAACTCACTAATGGTTTGTTGAATGAGTTAATGTGAGGAAAAAATGAATTGCCAATGCAGAATAGGAGAGAGAAGATTGGAGATGGGATATGAAAACCAGGTTAGTCCTTAGTCATTATTTGTGTGATACCAGAGTGTCAAACTACAAACAAATGGGTCAGAATCAATCATGAGACAGATTTTAGTTCATGATTAGAAAGATCTGACAGTTTATTCTAAAGAGGTGTAGGTTTTCTTATGCTCATCTTAATTTATTATTGGGAATAGCTGCTCATCTTAATTTATTCACTCTCTTGTTCCCTCTCATCTGTATCTTAGTAGAAGACTTCTTGGGTTGTGTGTGGAAAGAATTCTAGCAGAGGTCCAGAAAACTTGGGGCTTTTTTTTTTTTTTTTAAAGATTTGTTTATTTATGCACAGAAGAACTGGGGTACAGGCCAGAGGTGTGCGTGTAGGGGGGTGAGAGTGGGAAACAGAGTGGGAAATTTTACTCTGCTGAGGGAAGCAGCCGGGGAGACAGGAGAGGTCTGCCATGCCATGTGGGTTACCTCCCTAGCTGGGGATTAAACTCATGTTGCAGTGGCTGCCCATAGCTTCATAGTGCTGCACTTCACCCCATTATGTCACCAGGGAGGGCCCAGCACAGTACATTTATTTCATTTAATATTGTGAATGGGTTTTAGAAACTAAGTCCATCATTTTATTAGACATTGATTGAAGGGGCTCTCTTGGCACAGGGGACAGTAGTCAAGCTCATAGGCATTGACTGGAATTCTTCTTTCCTGTCAACATAGTGAAATAATATTACTTGAGGCCCTGATGTAATTTGCCCACATTTCTTCTGCTAATCGGGTAGAACTGTGGATTCTTGGCCAATCACTTAACCCCAGTACAATATGGAATTTCTGTAAAAGGGAGCTGTCCTTCTGTGTAAAGCCTAACCAATAGCACCACTAGCTGCTTAGTGGATGTTCAGTGCTATTTTGCCTTGCTGCTTACGGGGCATCAACTTTTTAAAATTGATTTTTAAAATAATGTATTTATGCATAGAACTACCATGTAGATGAGAGGTGCAGGGGGTGAAAAGATTCACTATCAGCAGCTTAGTGGATGTTCAGTTCTATTTTGCCTTGCTGCTTACTGGGCATCAACTTTTTAAAATTGATTTTTAAAATATGTATTTATGCATAGAACTACCATGTAGATGAGAGGTGCCGGGGGTGAAAAGATTCACTAGAGAACACTCCTGCTGTCATAGCTTTCCAGGTTATTAGGTTTTAGTTTCCTTAATTTCAACTGTAACTCCTGCCTTAGTTTGGTTTGTGTTTTCCCCAGTATCACCCTATCAGAATGGATTGTTTAACTGATAATTCATCTTTCATATTACATTTTATTTTTTGTGTGGAAAATTTTTGTTGTGAAAAACTATAAAGGCAGGAATTAATTTACAGCCAACTTTGTTTTTGTTCTTTAATGCACAGTTGTTTTTTTTTAAGATTTATTCATTTATGCACGTATAACTGGGGTACAGGCCAGAGGTGGAAGGGGTGAGAGGATTCACCAGTGACAGAGTAGGGAGCAGAACAGGCAGATCTACTGAAATAAACTGCTGAGGGGAGCAGCGGGTGAGACAGGAGAGATCTGCTGCACCATGGCTAACCAGGGATGGAACTCTTGCTGCAGTGGCTGGTGATAGCTTGATAGCATTGTCTTTAACCCCTGCATCACAAGGATGGCCCACCTGAAGATAAATTTTACTCATATAAAAGATGACCATTAATTCCAGTATCTAAAGCCTCAATAAAGAATTACTTAGGAAAAAACAAATATTCAGAAAGGTCTTAAAAATTTGTAGAAAATATAAATAGACCTTTCTTTTTCATCCTCCCAAAAGTAGGGCCAGAAATTAGTGTCTTACCATTTACTTGTTTTCCTCACAACACTTAATTCATAGCAGTTACAACTTAACAGTTTCTTCATTTTTCTGTTTAGTGGCTGACTTTTACCTTTTCTTGTTGGACTGTGGTGCTTCACGAGTGCAGGAACTGTCTCCCTTTTGTCTTGACTTCATGCAGATATTAGTTGTATATACCAGCAAATATATTTATTTTGAGAGAAGTTGTTTTTTGGAGTTCTGTTGGGGTGACCTTTAGTAGGCAGTGTTGAGAGAGGGTCTCTTCACAATTCCAGGGACCACAGATTGCTGCATAATAAAGAAGGAACCAGTGGAGGAACATCTATGTTAGGATGAGGGCAGGAGTGAAAGTGTGCTGACAGGGTTTCCTGGAGCTTTGTGTTTTAATAATGCCTCTTTTTCTTTATGTGTAGTGAGTGATGCTACACTTGGGCAGACTTTGCCTAAGTTTCATAAATATTTAATTGGCTTTTTCAGGAGTATAAAGGCAGCCCCGTTGATGACTGAAAATGACAAAGCATCCACCTAACAGACGAGGAATCAGCTTTGAAGTGGGAGCCCAGTTGGAAGCCCGGGACCGATTAAAAAACTGGTACTTTTACATTTTTCTGTTAATTGAATCCCTTGTATAAAGGAATTTGGCTAGCACCAATAAAAAGGGGTATCCTGGGCTTTTCTGTAGTGTTTCTCTGCTCCCTAGAAGGAGACTTAAGTGTTGAGCTATGTTCATTCTTTTTGGTGCAAGGATCCCTAAGTCACCAGGACCATCCTGTGACCTTTTGTTCATATTTGTTTCTCTTTTCTGCTGGTTTATCTGAAGGAATTATGGGAAAAAGCATGTGAAGTTACAGGAAAGGGAAGAATTAATAGTGGTAGCTCCCTTGTTCTTTGCTGGCTGACTGGAAGAAAAGAGAGATCAGGGACGGAAGAAGGGGATAGTTGGGACAGCTATGTGTTGTGAATAACCTTTCTTGTTTTCTGGGTGCATTGTTGTCTGGCTGAAACACAGTCATCACATGGTAGGGCTGATTAGAGTCAAATATTGAGGGTTTGTGGTCCCAGCTTTGTCATTGGCTTGCCATCTCTGGAATTGGCCACTGGAACATCAGCTACATTTGTAAATGTGTATATTAATATCAACCTTGCTGAGTTTTTCTGGGAAATACTAAAATATGTGGGGAAAGGACTTATAAAATATGAAAAGATGGTTGTTGAGGCTATCTTCAAGTCTGGTCATTTGTCATTGATGGATGGAAGAAGGGGGTTTTCAGAACTCCCGTCTTTCTGAGATTCCATAAGGAAGAGTTAGCTCTTTGGCGGTTATCTTGGAATATACAAACTCACCTGGAATGTTGGAAGAGAAGTAGGAAAGTAGCTGGGGCAGGAAATGTGTTTGCTGCCTTTTGGGGCTAGGAGGTTTGACCTAAGAATCAGACACTTGGAACACTTAGTTGTTTGTAGGCTGTTTGTATTAGCTATCACTGTTCCTTTTTTGGTTTCTCTCTGTATTTTGAAGGCAACTTAACTAGGGGAAGGAATTTTTTTTTTCAACTGGGGAAAAATTTAAAAAAGTGCAGCTAACCATAAAATAACCAGTGTAATTGTGATTTATAATTAACAAATAAATATTAACATTTAAAATTTTATTTATATTTTTAGAAGTAAAGGATAAAATATTTCTGATATAATTTAAGTACCATTTATACCTTTCCCAATTCAATTCCCCTTTCTTATTCTGTAGAGTCAGCTGGCATCCTAAATTTGGTTGTATCTTTTTTGTCCATATTTTTAGTTTTTTCTATATATGTGGATATATATACATAAATAATATAATCTTTGGGTATTTTAAAAAAATATTCACATAAGTGGTATCATATTGCTTGTTTCTTTTTTTGGTCATGTTTCATATTTTTATTATTTAAGATATTCATTTTAATTTCTGTTTAGAGTTCCATTTTGAATGAGTTCCATTATGAATATGTGATATTTTATTTATTTCTAATTAGACATTATAGTCCAGCTTTTCACTTTATAAACAGTGTCACCATCACTATCCCTATAAATGTCTCCGTGTGTTACATGTGCAAGCGTATTTCTTACGTAGTGACTTTCAAACTTTTTTTTTTTTTTTAAAGTAACTGGCTATATTGCTTGATAGTGTTGGGACTTTGACCCCTGCACCACCAGGGAGGCCAGCCCTAAAACTATTTTGATCACAATCTGTAGCAAGAAATATATTTTAAATCCTGTGTGTTATTTACCAATATACATAATAAATTTAATTGAAGCAAAAAGCTTACGAAACAGTACTTAACCTTAGTATATACAGTACATGCTGGTACTTTTCATCCTTGTGTGCTTCTTTAATATACACACAAAAATGCTGTTAAGAAACATTAATTTAATTTTTAAATCTACTAATGAGTCATGAACTGCAGTTTGATAAGCCCTTCGTTAGTGAATTTGTTGAGTAATGCGAGCTATATGTTTTTGGTTTTACTAGAAATTGCTAAATTGCTGTCCACAATGCTTCCACTAATACTCCCCTTAGTAATATGTAAAAACTTTCCATATCCTCACCAACTTTTTCCTACTTTATGGTGTTGCTGATCTTTTGGTTATGACACTTTTTCTCTGTGGTCCTATTTTTTGTGAGATTGAGCATCTTTTAGTATGTGTCTTCTGTGACTGGGCTATTTTTCTACTAGGTTATCTTCTCTTAGAGATTAAAAAATGTTTCAATAATATATTATAGATTCAAATTCTTTGTCAGTTTGTTTTCCAGTTTGCACCTTGTCTTTTCCACTTTTCCATTTGCCATATCTTTCATGGTACATAAGTCAAAAATTTTAATTTAAGAAAAATGATCTTGAACTATGATACTTGCTTTTTTGTGAGAGAGATGAAATTCTTCCCTATTGGTTGATTTAAAGCTATTGTTCTAAAAGTTTTAAGACTTTGGTTTTTCATTTATTCTTTAATCTACCTGGAATTGATTTATAAGTATGTCATGAACTTAGTATTTAATTATCATTTATTACTCACTGTATGAATATGTAGTTGGCTCAAGATCATTTGTAAGATAGTCCATCTGTTTCTCATTGATCTGCAATACCACTTCTGTATATATAATACCATAGTATGGTTCCATTTTGAGCTATTCTGTTCACTGATTTATGTTTATTCTTGTACTAATATAATTACTATTTTATAATAAGTCGTGATATCTGTTAAGGCAGGTTTTTACCATATGCATATAAGAATTGGAGTATAGGCCAGAGGTTTAGGAGGTGAGAGGATTCAGCAGAGACAGAGTGGGGAGCAGAACAGGCAGATCTACTGCAACACACTGCTGAGGGGAGCAGTGGGTGAGACAGGAGAGGTCCATTTGGGTCACCTCCCTGGCTAGGGATTGAACTTGTGCTGCAATCATGGTGGATAGCTTCTCAGTGCTGCACTCTAACCCCATGCACCACCAGGGAGGGCCTAGATCATTATTCTTTAATTTGAATTTTTATATTGTCTAGTTTCTTGAAAGAGTCTGTGGAGCTTTGAAATAAATAATACTGAATTTATAATTAATTTTGTAGGGCATTAACATCTTTGTGATAGAGAGGCTTGATCTATGATAATACCTCATTGCATTAACTCACCTTTTCTTTAATGAACTTAAGTAATGTTTCATAATTTTTTTTTAATTTTATGCATATAAGAGCTGGGATTTAGGCCAGAGGTGTGTGGGGGGTGGTAAGAGGACTCTCTAGAGACAGAGTGGGGAGCAGAACAGGAAGATCTACAGAAATACACTGCTGAGAGTAGCAGTGGGCAAGATAGATGAGGTCTGCTGTGCCAAGTGGGTCGGTCAGCTTCTTGGCCAGGGATTGAAGTCATGCTGCAGTGGCTACAGATAGCTTCACAGTTCTGAGACTTAACCCCTTGTACCACCAGAGAGGCCCAGACTATCTCATTTAATCTCTAGTAGCAAGTCCATTTGGAACAGGCTGGGAGATAAAGTGACTTGCCTAAGGTCACAAATGAACCAGTGATGTGTCTTTGTACTCTATCAGAATTGGTTCCTAAATCATGCAAGCCAACTTTTGTTAAGTTTTAGGATTCCAAAGAAATTCTGGAATTTAGGATTTAAATTTTCTTTTTGAAATGGGATTTTGTAAAATAACAGATTTAGGTTTTTCATAGATATCACTGGGTCTTAAAAGAAGTTTATCAGTAAGAATCCATGCTCAAATATTGGATCTAGCACTTTGAGGTAAATTTTCTGCCTATCAGATTTCTACTTTGCAGAAAAAGTAACCTTGCCTTTTAAAAAATTGTTTATTTATTTTTGGGGTATAGGCCAGAGGTGCTGGGGGTAGGTGAGCATATTCACCAGAGACAGTCAGCAGCAGAACAGGTAGATTGACTGAAACACACTGCTGAGGGGAGCAGCGGGCAAGTTAGGAGAGGTCTGCTCTGTCATAATGTGGGTTAGCTCCCTGTCTGGGGATTGACCTCAGGATAGTGATGGTAGTGCTGAGACTTAACCCTGGGGCCAGCAGGGAGGCCCCTGCTTGCCTCTTTACCCCTAGGGTTCTAATTGCCTCCAGAGTATTTCCTTAGGAAACTAATTGCCTGTAGTTTTCCTGGTACTGATTCTTGGTGGAGAGAATGGAAGCTGCTTGTTAATGCTGTCTTCACCCTATTCTTATCATCTGTCATGAGCTTACCATCTGCTTGCAGAGTAGGCCAGGCCTTCTCAGTTCTTCCTCTGATCACAGTGGGGGAAAAACATCTTCTATCTGTTGTTTTCCTGACTCGGGTATGTTTCCACTACTGTGTTTGCATTTAAGTTGATTTTAATCTTCCATTTCTTGTGCAAGGGATTTTTAAAATCTGAGTTTCATAAATGTTTTTAGGTCTCTTTTTTTTCTTTATGTTTTTCACTGGGATTATTTGCATTGATCAAGTCTGAGTTCCTGGTTCATACCTCTTCACTTTTTTTTTTTTAAAGCAACCTCTCATTTCTGAGCCTTACATCCACCTGTTATTAGTCAGGCATTATGCTAGGTGCTCTGGAAAGAAGAAAAATCAGGTTGCTGGGCCAACATTATTTATCATATAGTCTCATGCTTATGTCTTTGCTAGAACTAATATATATTTATTAAAGATTTATTTATAGATAGAAGAACTGGGATGTAAGCCAGAGGTGCAGGGGCAGTGAGAGGATTCACCAGAGACAGAGTGGGGAGCAGAACCAGCACATCGATGAAGTACATTGCTGTGGGGAGCAGTGGGCAAGAAAGGAGAGGTCTGCAGTGCCATGTGGATCACCTCCAGGACCCGGGATTGGATTCGCACGGAAACAGCTTGCAGTGCTATGCTTTAACCGGTTGCACCACAAGGGAGGGCCTGATTTCACTTTTTAAAAGTGGTTGTGGTTACTATATGGTCATATGTTGCAATAGGGAGAACAGTAAGCAGTGTTGAAGTAATCTGGATTCAAGTTGGTAGTAGATTGAACAAAAATAACAACAATGGAGATTATGAGTAGTGATCAGAGGCAGGTAGTTTTTTGAACTGACAGACTCACTGTTA